ACACACACACACACACCCTGCTTGCTTCCTAGCTCAGCTGTCTCCCAGACCCATTATCTTAAACTCACTGTGACCCTTTCCTGCCCCCCTATTTCAGAGCCTGCTTGCTCCCTCTGTGACCCCTGCACTCCCCTTACCTCTCTTCTCTTCTAAATCCCAAGGACTGTGTGGGTGAGGACATGCCTGATGTCTCAACGCAGAGTTCGTCCTCGTTATTAATTGAACTGACCTCCAGTCCACATGGGCCACTGATTCCATGTCACGTTGGGGTGGGGGAGGGTCGGGTCTTCCCCATCATGGACAGGACACCCCCTTCCTCCTTCCCTGCACTCTGAAGATGGGAGCAGGAAGCACTGACCTGCCCCTGTGGTTCAGGGACAGCCGCCATTCGATAAATGTTTGACAACAATTTTAAGCGTCAACGTGGGAGGAGAGCCAAGGGCAGACACTCATGATGCACCCATGGAGTCCAAACAAAACTCAAAAGGAAATGAGATCGAAGTAGAAAGCCAGCCAGCGGTCTTTTCTATCGAGAACCCAACAGGGGCGAGATCGAAGTAGAAAGCCAGCCGGCGGTCTTTTCTATCGAGAACCCAAAAGGGGTGTCCAGGAAAGGTGCGAGCTGCACCGGAGGGGTCACAGAGCCTGGCGCGACCTGCGGCTGACACAAAACAGCTTTCAAAGTGTTTGGGATGAAGGCCGGGATGCTGGGGAGACCGGGACCCTGTGAGCAGGCGCAGTTACGGGCTTGGGGGCTCTGGACCGTGGGCTTCTGGGTTCCCCTGCTCTCCTGGCCCGGCCTTTCCTAGCACCCCCTTTGAGTCCCCCTAACTGGCGGCCGTCTGCAAGCTAAGTGCTTTTTTTTACGTCTAGGCGCCTCTCCCTCGTAGGGGCCTGGTCTGTGTTCCCGACTGCGGCTTTCCCTGCTTCCTATAACTCTTAGAGGCACCAGGCACGGACACTGGCCCCTCGGGCCAGGCTGGCACAAAAGCCGCCCGTTTCCCTGGAGTCTGTGCGTCCTTCATACCCACATCTGTGGCCCAGTCCCTCAGCAGCGAATCTCTGCTCACCTGGTGGGGACCAAGTTTCACTTTACCTGGTTAAATAAGGTCTTTGGTGAAAGATACACGGTCTGCGGAAAGTTTCTCAAGACGTGTGGTACTTTTAACTTGTTAAGCTCAGAGTAGGGAACTTTTATCCTTGAGTGGGGGCAGAGATTCGGGGGTGGGGGCGCCCTGGCAGATTCTTGAAGAGGTGCTGCTGGCTTCACAAGTGGGCTGTAGTGCTTGAGAGTTCCAGTTACAGGTGACAGGGGGCTCAGCCTCTAGTCGGCGAGCGTCTCTGTCCCCGTCGGGCTGCCAGTCGGTGACAGACTCCGGCCGGAGTCAGAAGTGGAATATTTTCGTCGGTGCAGACAGTGCTGTTTCACAAGGACGTGTCTTGCATTACTTTAGAAAAAGAGTTCTCTGGCGTCAATGTTACTTCTTTACTTAATCTTATATTAAAAACAACTTTATATATTAAAAAACAGAAGCAGGCAGCGCGTGGGCTGTGCACATCCTACGCCGAGGGACCTCCTGCAGCTGGCCCGCCCTTGCCCTGCCAGAGGCTGAGGCCCCGCAGACGGCTGCATCCAGCTCTCCGGGCCCTTCCTCGCTGGCGGTCGGTGGCGTGGGCCGCTGCTGCTTGAGCATGCTGCAGTGCAGCCACGCTTGTAATCTCGAGCCTTCTAGAAGGCTCTTTGAAAAAGTTAAAAGAAGCAGGCCCTCCCTGGTGGCGCAGCGGGTTAAAGCACAGTGCTAAAGCCACTTCAATGCGAGTTCGACCCCCGCCCGGTGACCACATGGCGCGGCAGACCTCTCCTGGCCCGCCCGCTGCTCCCCTCAGCAGTGCACTTTGTTGATCGGCCTGTTCTGCTCCCCACTCTGCCTCTGTGAAGCCTCTCACCCCCCCTGCACCCCCAGTTCTGTATGCACAAATAAATATTAAAAAAAAAGTTGAAAGAAGTGAAGTGCAATTAACTTTCAATTGCAGTTTCTCAGCCCAGTGTACCCAAAACAGCGCCCTGGCCTTGTGCCATTCTGTGTGCGGTGGGCTCCGTCTCCAAAGTCCAGTGTGCCGCCTGTGGTGGCCGTGTCCGTGGCGCCGTTGCGGTGGCTGTTCAGTGGACAGGAGAGGCACCACCTCGGTACGGGGTTTGCCAAAACCAGAGGTGGACACCAGGGCCTGAGGGCTGCAGGCAGAGAGCACCAGCAGCCGAGGGCCCGCCCAGACCGTCCTGGCTTCAAACTGGAAGGTCACCCTGGCACGTGGTGAAGAGCGTCTCCCTGTCCTTGCTCACGGCTGCTCCCCTCGGCCCCAGGCCGCCACCCCAGTTTGACATTGAAGATCCCGGAACCCGACAGAGGCAGCGCACTCGCCGGGCCTCCCCTGCGTGGCCCTGACCTTGACCCTGGGCTCTGCCAGCACCTCCACCTTTAACGTCTTCCCAAGAGCCTGGTTCGGTTGACCTAGTAGCCCACTTCACGTGTGTTTCTCGCGCAGGCAGCTACACCCTAAACCGCAGACACCCCACGCCCTGATTTCCTAGTCACTGCAGGGAAGAAACATTATTCCCTTTTCACGGCCGGGGGGGGGGGGGCAGCCCACACCCCTCCCGCGGCCTTGCGCAGCTGCCCCGACTCTCCAGAAGATGCACCGGGGCGCCCCTCGGTCCCTGAGATGGGGCTGGGGGCTTACACCCATATTCTATTTCAGAAAGCACCCACTTGACTTTTGACTTCTTTAGGGCCAATTTTAGACAGTTTTTTGACATGCGGTGACTTTGTGAACCCAGGAGGGAGAGTATCGGTGAAAATCTCAAAAGGAGGATCATCGGGATGGTCCCTTTGGGCTCTCGGGATGAGACTCCGCGCATGTCTGCCTGTGTGCGCTGGCCGCAGAGGCCACACGCCTCTGCCCTGCTCTGCTCGAGGAAGCTGTCCATGCTCTGTCCACGATCACGTCTGCACGGAGCAGAATGGAGATGGTGCGTCTGCGCTGGGAACCGTCAGGGACAGCGGAGGCCAGGCATGGGCAGGAGGGGGCAGCACCGGCCATGGCTGTCGCGCGGCGCCAGGGCTGCCCAGGGCCCAAGAGGACTCCGTGCCCTAGCTGGGGCAGCCTGCTCTTCCTGGCACCAGCAGGCAGACTCTGCTTGCTGCAAGCGTTTCACCCCGGCCAGGAGGTTTCTTCAGCGGTGGCAGAGAATGTGCCGAGTGCTCTGTGCTGCGGGGAATTAAATAGTTTATGGAAGGGCTGCGGGATGGCCGGGCGAGACCACTCGGGAGATGCGTGGCAGCCGGCGCTTGGGGCAGAGCCCAAGATGTTGCCGCCTGCAATATCGTCGGGGCTTTTAGAGCCTTGACAGAGTTTAGCTCTTCCAAGGACAGGGCAATGATAGCGAATCATGATGCAAAACCTTTTATGTTCCTGCTATTGTAAGCGTACAGGCTGCCTCTCCTTTATTCTATAGCGTCTTCTGCACCACAGAGCTGGTTTTTCATAATCCGTGAAAAATACTCCCTCATGGGCCGGTAGAGGAGGGATTGCTTTTTAAGTCTTCAGGCTCAACTTTTCTCTAAGTGAAGAGCTATGAAGAGAGTATTTGCTTCTAAGAACTGGACTTTGTAGAAACGAGTAGACAGAGGAAGACACAAAGAGCACAGTTGTAGTAGATGCGTTACGGAAGCACTTCCTGTTTGCCAGCACTGCTGACTGGCCAGACACCCCAAGACAAACAGCCCCAAACAGGTGCTGCTGGTACCCTTGTTTTACAGATGCGGGCACTTGATGAGGGACTTGCTTAAGCCCCTCTGGCTCCTGCCTCTGCTGGACCCCTAAGCCATGCTGCCTCTGAAGAAGCTGGTTGTTGGGCCTTGATGGTGGTGGCTGGGCCTGGACGACCTGCATCCTGTGTGAAGAAATGACGCAGCAAAGAACTGTTAGTGTAACACTGGTTGTTCATCAGACAAGAAAAATTAAAAAGAAAGCCGTGCTGTGAGAGGCAGGATGTACTGACTCTAAGGTGAAGTAATGGTGACCCACTGAGATTACCTGCTTGTATTTGGAGGAAGTCAAATATTTGCCTCGTTGACTTGGATACACGTGATAGAAGGGACCCAGGTCCTCACTGGCTGGACACAGGCTGGCAGGTGATAAGGATTTGCTGAGAAAGGAAGGAGGCCACATTCACACCAGGCGTGTGTTTCCCTTGTCTCTGGCAGGTTGTCATGGGAAGGGAGGTGGCAAGAAACCCAGGGACCTGAGCCCAGTGTCACCTGGATTCCTGGCTACCTTCTCTGAGGGGACAGACAGGATGAGGCTTGAGAAGGTCGGTGAGGGCAGTTAGGCCCCTCCTGAGGACTGTTGGAGTCAAATTCACAGAAGGTTCTGGACTCTTCGGACTGCTGGGAAAGTATTTGTATTTCATGGACTGTGAAATAATCACCCTTGTGGCCCTCAGGTTTTCCTGTGATGTGGGGTTTTCCTTGCCGAGCCGGCTCGTCTTCAGGGGGAGCCCTTTGGTCAGGGGGAGCCCTTTGGTCTGATCCTTCCCTTTTCTTCCCCTGCAGGCCACACTGCACATTTCCTGGAGTCAGAATGCCCCCAGGACCCAACAGACTAGAAAGAATCCGTTTTCTATAAGTAACTAGATGTCAGGGTGCTGCAGGCAAGTCGCTGAGCCTGTGGAAGCTGGGGTGATTGATGGAGAGTCTCTGGCCTCAGCTGCCCTTGGGAAACTGCCTCGGGCAGCCATTCCTGAGCTCCCATGCCCTGAGGGGTCTGGTGCAGACACAGCCTCTGGCCAGCAGGGGGCGCTGCTTCCTTTCCTTTTACCAGACAGAAGCCAAACTTGGTCTTCTTTGCTTGACCTTTTGTTTCTGGTCCATGGAGACTTGGCTTTTCCTTTTCGTGTTGTGTCTAGAGTGAAACGGGGTGTTGGAAGTCTGAACTCATACCGAACATTATCTTCACTGAGAAAGGACATTTTAACTAAACACAAGAAACAGTCTCATTAAAATCTGCCTAAAAGAAAATAGAATGACCCGTGAGTACAAATCCTAAAGGGGAAATTGAATGATCATCCCCAGAGATGCTGAAGAACCCTCCCCTTTCTCTTACGGGATGTCCTGTTAGATGTCTGTTGAGTCCCCTTGCGTTTCAGCGAGTGTCTGGCCCTCCGAGGGTTGCTTGTGTCTGGAGTTGGTGTTCCCTGGGGCTTGAGATTCCCGAGGCTTCCCATGCTTTTAATGACTTTTAAGCCCCCTCTTGTAGTTCGTCAGTGGCACCTGCTTATGTGTGTGGTGTGTGCTGTCAGCACGAAGCTGTGTCTAGCACATTCATCAGCGCTTTTAGCAGCAGGCTTTTTTTTTTTTTTTTTTTTTCCTCTTTTTACTCCAGTAGCGAGTTTGGATAGTACTGGGTGTGGAAGAAGAACACCTGCAGCTTGGGCTTGACTCTGTGGACGTGTCTAGAGTCAGTGCCCGGTGTGGGGGCACAGGGCTGCCCCAGGCCTCATGGGTGTGGGTCTTCAGTTTGCCCGCTGGGTGAGCCTGGTGCTCTGTCCTTCTAGACGAGAAGCGTGAGTCTAGAATTCTTGACTTACAGGCACATTTCATGTCCTGGAGAGTAGTTGTAAAGAGAAAGTGTTTTAGATAGCATTCAGGGGGCTGATAAGGCCCCCACGTCGACACTTCTAATTAGTTAGGCCCTCGTTATTGGGCTCTGTCACTCAGTTAATCTGAGCTAACCTGAATTTGATGGAATGATTTCTGAGTTTCTCTAACTCCCAAGTTTCCAGAAGTTGACCCCTGTGCTTCCAGGGTGCCTCCAGAACTTTTTGATTCTTTGTTTAAAGCTCCCTGTACCACCTGGCTAAGCTGGTTGGCCTACCTGATTTTGAATGCCAGCTGTACTACATGATGTGAAAAAAGGAGGTTCCTGAACCTTCCTTGTTTCAGTTTCTTAAAATGGAGAAGAAAATTCTATCGGTCTCATAGGGCTGTTTTGAAGTTTAATAAGCGAGCTCACTAAAGAACTTTGCTCAGGAAATATGGCATAGAGAAACAATAATGTCAGTTTTTTTTTTCTAGTCATGAACTCCCTAATCTATATAGCTTAGCTTAGATCGCTAGTCTTTATTTGACTTGCTGAGACTTGTGATTTGTATTTAATGTGTTCAATAAATGTACTGTGAATTCATAATTTTCAAAATTTAAAAAAATGAGTCTCATAAATATTGAATGAATACATGTCAAAATGTCCTAGCACTTAATGAAGAAATAGCAAGAGGATCAAATTGATTTATTGGAGCAGAGGGAAAAGATAATGTATAATTTTGTATAATTTATAATTTTTCTAAATTTCAGACAAAATTGCTTAAAGTTCTTTGGGTAATAAAGCTGTAACCTTTAAAGTCACCTCAACATTTACATCTTTTCTGCATAGAAATGCTTAAGTTAACCCACAGTTACAAATATTTTTTGTTAGATCTTTGAAACACTGGTCTGACCTTGTAAGGATATGTTTTTTGCTATCTCCAAATTTTGGGTAATTTTTCTAAATAGTTATTATAACATACAGTCCTAAGTATTATTTATGTTAGAAAAGATCAAGCAGAAATATGACTCTAGTGTATGAATATCTGCTTTCTGCCTAAACTTATAATTGGTCCCATGCCGACCATCCATAATTATGCTTTCATAATATTTCATTAAGGGTAATATAGGGATATTTAGGAAAACACTACTAATTTCTAAGCTGATGCCATGGAGGTAGCAGCGTAATGAATGCTTACATGAGACGAGAACCTGGTATACATTTTAATTTAATCTATAAACAATCTTGTGAGGTAGGCATCATTATCTCCATTTTGAAAATCAGGTAAATGAGTCTCCATGCGGTTAAATAATTTAAGATTATGTAGGTAGGAAGAAAAGACTTGAATTCAGTCTGACTCTGAGTTTGGTTCTCTCCGCTGCTCTATGATCTATGACTCCCTAAATTTTAAAGTGGGTCTTTGCATAAATATATAGAAGCATGAGCATAGATTTGCTTTTATGATAGCCCATGACCAGTCTTTTTTTCCCTGTAATAGGTGGTGTTTCTCTTGCCTGGCCATTGGATTAAAACATCTGCTCTGAAGGAAAATGAAACCATTCTGTTTCACTCTTTAGAGCCGCTTCCTGTCAAGGTGTCTTCTTTGTAGCTTATCTCTCTTTCTTATCTCTCTGGCCCCCAATATGTCTGTAGGTGGGCTGGATCCTTTCTATTTTGGACGAACTGCAGCTAAGCCCTCAGCCTCCCGTCGGGGTCCTGCCTCTGGGGACGGGGAATGACCTGGCTCGAACTCTCAACTGGGGAGGGGTAAGGACCATGTAAGGGCTGCCCACAATCACCCACAACAGGATTCCCAAATGTACAGAGCTGCTGTGGGGAGGGGAAGATGCTGCTGCTGTCCAAGGAATAAGCAAGAGTTCAGAATCTAGGCCCTCCAACCGGATTTTATTTGATAACTTGTGCAGTTTAAACCACAATGAGTCAGAGGAGAAGGAAAGGTTGGCAAACTCACAGTGAGCAAACTGGGAGTGGGGGTGTTGCCAAGCAAAAAAAAAAAGAGCAAACTGGGACTGGGGGTGGAGGGGTGGGATGTATTTGTTCATCGGCCTGGGGACTGTGGGGGATATCTTCCAAAAGACAGTGGGTGCGTTGGCCTGGAGTCTTCATGTTAAATAATCAGGAAGACTTGGATTGGTCTTGACACTCAGCTTGGGCCAGAGAGTAAATCTGGGCCCGATTTACAGTCTCTGCTCTCTTAGTTTTGTTATTTGTAAAATACACCGAGCACCACGGCGGAGGGCGCATCCCTGCAGGCAGCGTCTCTGGCTACACTGCTGTGCAAGCAGCTGTGGTCTTCTCTGTGATTCCTTAGGGCTACACTGACGAGCCAGTGTCTAAGATCCTTTGCCAAGTAGAAGACGGGACGATTGTACAGCTAGATCGCTGGAACCTCCACGTGGAAAGAAACCCCGACCTGCCTCCAGAGGAACTTGAAGACGGAGTCTGTAAGGTTAGAGCATGGTTTCTTCAGCAGAAGGGAACCCTGGGACATCTGTCTGGGCTGCAGGAACTACAACCTGGCCTGAGAGGCAGGCGCTGATTCCGGCCTGAGAGACAATGAAGTGTCTGAGTTCATGGCCATGGGGGCTAACATGTAACTCAAGCCAGTGATTGACCCCCTTGGTTTCTGTTGAGTAGGATTTCCTTCCTAGCTGCATCCAGGACTCAGCTTCTATCCAGAAAGACATGGGTCTGTTTTCTAATCTTCCAAGCTCATAATTTATGAGGAGGTAAAAATACAGAGGAGGCCCATGGTCTTTCAGGAAAAAGGCGACCTCGGCTCCTGGTTTTATATGCCAATGTTATTTATGTTTCAGAAGTATGAACTAAGCCAATATCATCACTTGCTTAGAACTTTTTAAGATACCTGAATAAATGTTTTGACCTATGTTTTTCTCTCAGTGATTGGGTTTTGAGATTATCTTTGCTTGTGATCTTAACTTCTAACTACCTGAAGGAAAACACATTATCTCCCAGCACTGCTAATTACAAAATAAGCAGAATGCTTGAGCAGAGGGCTGCTCAGTCTACTACTCTGACAGCAGTGTTCTTTGATTCTCAGAGCGACAGTAACGATTCCGCAGGACCAAGCCTGAGTTTTATTTCAACCCAAGCGTAGATATGCTAGTGTAGACCTTTTAGTCTAGACCTTCTTTGGCCATTTCTTTCTAAGTTCTGGTAGATTTGATAGGTTTCTGAATTGTTCCTCCATACTCCTTTTCCACTCAAACACAATAGTGTTGTCTAACTCTCGCGTGCATAGAGATCTTCCACGATGCCTCCTAAAATGGCCATTTTCGAGGCCCACTCCCCAGAGAGTCTGCTAAGTAAATGCAGGGTTCAGCGCAGGCCTCTCTACTCTTCCATCATCGCTGGATTGCATCATGCCATTGCTGAAGTCAGGCTTTTGTGGATGGTCTAGCTTTAAGACTGAATCATTTTATATCAGCCAATGCCCATTTATTCACTGCACTCACTGTTGTAGATTCAAGTTTCTTACTTGGCTGAACTAGGTGGGCTAAAACATGTTTTGTCTAGTCTTTATGCTTTTTACATCTAATCCATGATCCAGGCATTACAAATTTTCTTCTAATAGATGTCCTGATGGCTCCATTTGCAATGCCACAGTGTTATTTAAACAAGTATCATCTTGAAGTATGATTGTTCTTTTTAATGTATTTGACTTATAAAAATTGAACAGAAAACAGCTAACGTCAGAAAACTTGTAACACATGGAAATTTTAAGGACTTTTCCCCAACTGACTTGGAATGGCTAAGTCCTCAATAGAAGTCTATATTTAATTCTTTACTCAACAGTTTAAGAAATGGAAAAAGCTCGGTACAGTCAGAAAATATTAATCTAAATAATTAAAGGGCTTTGAAAGTAGAGTTTTAAAAATATGTGTAGGAAATTGAGACTTTTTTTCCTGGAAAATATGAATAAGAACTTAATAACGGTCTAAATTGGGATATTTATTTAGGGAATGGTGACCAGATGTTCTCTTAAGTTATCAGGAGAGGCAGATACACGGGCTACGACTGTAGCCAACAGAACATAAATGGCAGAAACCAGCGCGTCTGCTCTTGGCAACATCGGCAGCCCTTGCTGTCACTACCAAGACTTGGTATTTTGTTTCAGCACAGAACTGGACATTCTCAAAGGCGAAGCCAGGAGCGTGAGACACGATCTTGGCATTGTTCGATGTGTATAGATTCTCTCCCTGTGCTGCAGTCAGTTGTAACCTTTCAAAAGGCTGATTTGATTTCTAAATCCTGACAAGCTCTGCCGCAGGGCCTTCCATGGTGCGGGTAGGGAGGCTCATATTTTATTTCCACGAGAAATGGAGGCAATCCAATTTTCTTTTATCTCTCTCACTCTTACGAAGGTTCACGGTCTTACTCTAGTCAAACAGAAAATTTACCGACCAAGGGTAACTACCACAAACACGGCACCCCTGAGCCTAATGAGGTCCTTTGACTACAGACCATGTCTCTGTTACAGTTTAACATTCTTGGGTATATGACTTGATTTGATGTTTCACTAATGAATTCATTAACATGTCCCCAGTGTCTTCAATGGAAACACCCTCTACCTTGGGTTTTAACTGATCTCCCTCCCAGAGATGGCCCCAGAGACACACGTCAGGCTCCAGCCTTTATTTTCTCTTTCTACCTGGATCACACATTTTATCTCTACCTTTGTTCATCATTGCAGCTTCCTCTGAATGTTTTCAATAATTACTTCAGCCTTGGATTTGATGCCCATGTGACACTGGAGTTCCATGAATCCAGAGGTGAGGACAAGGCCCTGTTTGCATCTCTCAGGGAGGAGTTTCCTGCATGTCTTTTGCATGTTCACTTTCATGTACACAGCACATGAGTGTGGTTGGGGTGGTGTGTTCCTGTGGCTTCATTTGAACTTTCACGATGATCCTGAAGCTGTTACAGATGGGACCTGGAAACCTAGTCATGTACAGTCTCAAAGGTGGTGAAGGACAGGATCAGCTCTCTGCTCTGGGGATCCAGACTTTAGTTTGACTGGAAACTTTGACTTCAATGAACTGCTAAGAAGTGATAAAGAGTGATTCTTTCACTAACATTCAGATATTCAGAGTTTCTCAATCTACGAATGATTTAAGTCCAACTAGGCATGACCAAGGCCACTGAAATCTGGTGACAAAAACACAAAGTCCCTGTGCTAAAAAGGGACAGGTAGCATCTTAGAACAATGAAGAGGCAGTAGGTAGTTTATGGTGAAGGACAAGGGCATGAATGTGATTGGATTAGCTATGGAAGGTGCTGGAATCCCTATTGGATGAGGTAGAATGAATAAGACTGGTTACTTCAGGTACTAAGAGTTAATCTTGGCAGAACAAATCAAGTTTTGAAAGAGCAGTAGCACTAAATAATGACATGTGGTTCAGTATTTCATCAGAACTTCTTGTATGACTCAGAGCTTCTGCTTTAAAGCCCCAGCCTGTAGCTCTCGCACTTGCTGTATTGGCCTCTCCTAAGAGCTTTCCTACTTAATATAACTGTACTACGCATTTCTGTGTATGTCTGTTTCTGTAGCGGTATCTAAAACTCATCCCTTGAGAATATTGATGTGTAACTCAAGTCATGTGAGACTGTAGGTTAGGAAGTAACTTGTGACATAAAGGCTGTAAGTGAGGAATTATTTCACTTTTTTCCCTCCAGATTCTGCAAGCACAAGTGCCTTTAGCTATTCGAATTCGATATACAGATTAAGGGTAGAATCCAAAAGTTCAGACTCCCATAATGACACAGAGAAAATCCTGCTACCGTGTTTGTGCCTGAAAGACCAGGGGCTGTGGGATGAGACACCAGAAGACAAATGCTGCTGAAGTGCAGACTGATACTGCTACTGAAGTCAGCGATTTGCATAGATTTCGCTTCCTGGTTTCAGGAGCTCGTGGGGGTCAAATGCTGTGTCAAACAAAAACAACACTGATGGGAGGGAGAGCGTAAGTCCAGCCTTTCTCTCTGCTCACAGGTAGGAGCAAATGTCAGACACCACTAGCCTTCCCCTCCTGCACAGCAGCCCTTGGAGATGAATCTCCAAAGGCTGTGATGTTAGGGCCACGTGTAGAACCCGTTGCTCTTCCTGTGTTAAGGGAGAGTTAATTTGGGGATGTAATGGAGGTTTCTCCAGTTTTTAAAAAAGATTTATGCATACAGAACTGGGGTCCAGGCCAGAGGTGCAGGGGCAGTGAGAAGATCCATGAGAAGCAGAGTGGGGAGCAGAACAGGCAGAAGGATGAAGTACACTGCTGAGGGGAGCAGCAGGCAGGTCAGGAGAGGTCTGCCGCGCCATGTGGGCCACCTCCCTGGCCAGGGATTGAACTTGTGCTGAAGTGGCTGGGACCAGCTTCATATTGCTGTGCTTTTATCACATTGTGTCACCAGAGGGGGTTCTCTTTCTCCATGTTTTTACCAATTTTTCGTGTATTCTTCAGGAAACTCTGGGTCTGGTCTTTCTACTAACATCCTTAAGTTTCTTAGCAATACTGGTAAAGTAATATAACTCTCATGAATGCACACACACACACCCCCCACCCCTCCAAAACAGACGTCCTAGCCTGGAAAGAGCTCTAAATGAGTAAGTGGCAGACAATGCAATGAGCTTATTCAAGTGAGCCTCTTATTTTGTCTAATTTATCTGCAAATTACCTTAATGGTAAATTTCCTTGTCCACGATGAAACTTTTTCATAGACACAGAGAAACAGCAAGGTGGGAATGCCAGGTTTAGATGAGAACCTGTGGGGAAAATCACTTGTGGGAAAGTGATTTTAAAAAAATTTTAATCCATGGGACTATAACATTTCATGATAGGGCGGAATGTGCAGATTGTGGTATATATTTATCTGCATAGTTTATCTGTGTGTGATTGTGAAACGCATTGGTTAAAAGCCACTAAACATTAAACTTTGCTGAGTTGTCACCAGATTCAGTGGGAGAGCTTTAATGCAAGATGACATGGAATCACAAGCATTTGCCCTGCAGGTCACACAGGCCCTTGATGAGGACCAGCTCTTGAAGAGCTGGTCAAGAAGGGAGGCAGGCTAGGAGCGGCAGAGCGTGGTCACCAGATGGTCTAGCGATGGCACAAAATAAATATCCACGAAATAGGAACCTCTGTAGAGCTGCAGACCTCTCATAGATGTCCGTCTATTCTTTCTGCATTAAGTAAAAATGATTGATGATGAGAGTATAATTACTCAAGCTAATGCTCCTCCCCCCCGTTTTCAACTTATTTGTATTTGCCCCCCCCCCTTTTTAAACAGGATAGTTAAGATTTCTTGACTATCCTCACATTTTTTTGTTGATAGAGAGTGAGTGGCTGTTCTCGAGCCAAGAATACTCACAGTGGGGCCTTCAAACTGTTCGCCAACATAGCAGCTCACGGTTTGAGATTTCATGACAAAACCTGTGTTGTTTGCCATGAAATACTTGGATAGTGACTCAGAGCTTTATGACAGCCATTGCTAATAAAAACCAAAAAACCAGCTTGGACAGAATCACCACTGAGCTGCTAGTCAAAAAAGCATATAGAACTTTAAACTGGGGGTGATGTCAATGCATCAACGTGGATAAAAAGTATTGGGCTGTTGGAAAAGTCATGATGTATTTTGTTGGAAAAAACATATCATAACTTTTCCGACAACCCAATATTTACCAGTAAAAAGAATTTCTCAAAATTTGATTGCAGAAAAAGATTTGGCTTAGATTTGAGATATCCCATTAAATTTGCAGGAGAAAGATGCAGACTGGTTTGTCTCTCACTACATTGCGTTTCTTTTAGAGGAGATCATTAACATGATGCTTATTTTCACACAGTTTATTGTTGGCATGATTGTATGAGAGCTTTTAGAATTACCAGTAGGAAATAAGCAAGAGGAAGATCATCCTAACATTTGATTGACATTATAAGTAAAGAATGCAGACGTATGAATAATTTGGGCCCTGCATTTGATCAGACAGCAGGTATACTTCATTTGATTGGCAGATAGATACACTTTCTTATTTGTCTTACAGTGGTTAAAACATTTGTGTTTAAACTATTGTTGCTTGTGAATTAGAAAATAATTTTGGAACAGAATTTGGAGATGTAATATGACTTACTGGTCACTTAACTGTCAGTTGGAATGTGGCCAGTGCTTTAGTCTTAATTGCATTATGCTAGAGCTCGAGGAAGCACTTTGGGCACAAACCAGTCTGCTAATGTATAGCCTGTTAATAGTAGGGGTGGTTATCAGGCGGCACTGAATCTGCCCTGCCAGCTGTAGGAGCTGGACTTTCACTTTTTGGACCTAAAGGATACTAAACACATCAAACTTTCAGTCTGATTTGACTTAAATTTTACTGCCTCCATAGAGGCAGTAAACTTATTATTCAGAGGAGTTGAACCTTCATGCTACAAGGTCAAGGAAATACCATTATGACAGCAAAGGGTAGTACTTAAATTTGATTTAGGATTTACCGTTTTTTTTTTACTGAATATACACAGACATGCAGATCAGCACCTTTCAAAAGATTGTGTATGGTTCTTGGCTCATGCAGAGAACTGACCGACTTCTTTAAAAAGGTGTTATTTGCAACGCTTGCAAAATCACCATCGCTGCAAAAAGCATAGTGCCAGGCTCTTGTCTTGCTGTTGAGGTTCAAGCCCTATTTTGCCTGGAGAAGCCGCCACTGTCTGAAGTTGTCTGTCTGAACCTTCTTCCCACCCTGAGCCTCTGTGTGATGCCTGTTCATCATTTATGGTTAAAGAACATTCTCTTTGCATAGCATTTATAAAGTGACATTTTACTTTTGATTAGCAGCCCTAACTCTACCCCCCGCAACTCCATGCAGACAAAAGACCATACCCTATTTTTATATACTATGCCCAGTCCACTGGCTGCTCGTAATAAGCACTTATTAATTGGGAGAGAAGTCACTTATTTTAAAAGACAAATAGGTAGAACGGAACCGATATTGTAAGGGAAAGAGTAGTTTTATAGGCAATAAATAATAGAGGAGTTCAGTGGGACCGTTGGCAGGGAGAAGTCTCGGGGGATTTTTCCAGAAATGGTAGTAGACAAGACAGCTGAGCAATAAAGAGCAGGATAGAGACAAGAAATAAAGTGGGGAGGGCCGTGAGACAGGACAGCAAAAGTACAGAGCGACAAATGAGCTTGCCATAAAGATGGGTTGGATGACCAGTCAACGCGTAATGGATGACCCTGTCAATGGGGTTAGAAAACTGAAGATAAGCTTGGCACAGATATTTGTCCTTAGCGGGAAGTGATGTTGGAAGGACAGATGTTTTGATATATGCAACTTGAGCTGAAGGTGGCAGAGTGACTTCCCCTCAGACTGCTGTCACCAGGCAGAACTTATGATAATTCAAGTCTTAAACCAGCGTAACTATCCACTGGAGAGAAGATGGAAGGTGGGTGAATTATGAGGGGTTCAAACTGGATTTGACTTGAATCTCAGTCAAAGTGAAAAATAGATGGCAGGAGGCATATGGGAAAGATATGCGTAGTGAGTTTGAGTGTGTGTATTCTTAAGAGTTTTGAGTGGAAACACTGGTTAGTCTGGGCTAGGCCTGAGGGCCTCGCTCAGGTGCACACAGGAGTGCCCTGGCCCAACATGCAAGCAGTGATCTAATTTCGAGAACTTCCAACTATGCTTGTCCTGTGGAATGTGAAAGGGGGCACCCTTTATTTTCTTCACTCCACTTTTTTTTTTTTTTTTAGGTGTGAGCCAGTTTGATCTCATTAGGATCTTATCAGAGTCTATCTGGGCTAAGATTATTTGAAGCAAGTCAAAATATATGTATGGAGTATTTTTGACCAGTCACTCTATTTTAAAGTAAGGAATTGCATTTGACAAGGCAAACCTTATAAATGTTTACATTTATTTATGAAAACTATATGACTACTTTTCATTGATGCCACTAGTAATTTAAGGTTGTATATTTCATACATAATGGTAAAACACATTGATTTTTTTTCAATTACTTCTGTTGATGTAATTTAGTTTTTAATTTGAAAACGAATGCCATCAGATTGCTTATCTTATATTCTACATGCCAGGTTTTAAAAATGTATGCAATACTGAGCTCCCATAAAAAGTGCTGAAGAACACCATTTTGCCATAACTCTGCATGGGCACGAATTTGTGATTCCATGACGCTTGTGTGACAGGAGGCAGCCAGTCTGAGAGCTGGTAGATTTGACTCATAAACTTTGATAGCCTTCACGTGTCTGCACGTTTGCAATATCAGAATGTGTGCATTAAAATTATATTGCTTGCATGATAATAAAATACCAAATGTCTCAGGAGGTAAATTAATGTTTTGTGGACACTCTGGCATGGACTTGTATTACTTGGGCTCTTGCAGGACTTGATGCTTAGGTGGAGATAAGAGCAGTAAAGTGGCAGACTACTAACCTCCAGGATTTTCAAACTACATTCTTTCCCAGGGATGTAATTATAGGAGAACAAAAGAATGGGGTAGCTACCTGCAAGCCCCAGAGAAGGAAGCATGGAAAGATGTGTTAGGAGCTAAGCAATATTTGAGGCCCTTTGCAACACCACCCAGTCACTGAGTATGATATACACACAGAATGCAAGTGCAGTGTGAATTTTTTGTGCACCAAGCACCATGCATTGCTGTAAGCAGAAAGCAGGAAGAACCCATGGTGATCCGGTCACCTGGACCTTCCTGCCTTTTTTGCGAACACATTTGGAAGGTTGTAGGATTGACTTAAATAAAAGTCTAGGAGTAGTCAACAAAGGTCAAGAAAGGTGGAAGAGAAATAAAAGCTTAGCCAGGCAGGGGAAGGAATGAGTCCATTAAGTTAAATAAATTATTTTATACAGTTATAAAATATTTAGTTATTTGTTGTGCTGCATCAGATCATTTCAACAGTGGACACTAATGTTCATGCTGAAGTGATTTTGAAAAGGGTTTAAAGTAAACTGCATGACCAATTAGAAAAAAGAGGCAGGACTGTAGGATACCATTCTGAGGACACATGGGCCATTACACTGGATATAATGATGGGATTAATCTGTTAAATCAATGGAATGGCTTATAACCAGAGCTTTATTATCATTGTAAATGGACTATAGCCAGGATCAAATCATATTGATGATTTAGATGATGAGATTTGGGAAGTTTGAACTAATGAGATTTACATGGGATTTTGGGTTTCCAGTTGATGTTTTATGGGATGAGATCTTTGGGGACCTTGGAAGGAAAACATGTATTTTCATGGGTGAAGGTTGTAAATCACTGGAGCCAGCAGGTGGACAATAGTCAAAGAATCTTGACCTCCATGACCTTGGGCGTCTGATGTCATGCTTGATGATTTGCTGCTTCACTGGTAAAAGAACTCTGTGGATGTAATTAAGGGTTATAATTTACTTACCTTAAGGCAAATAATCTGAGAGGATTCAGAATAATAGCATGATCTCTTAAAAGCAGAATCGGAAGGTAAAACAGGATGTCAGCAGATTTGAAGTTTGAGGACTTTCTATGCCATTGCTGACTTTAACCATGAAGGAAACCACTAGCCAAGGAATGCAGGAGAGACCTGTAGAAGTTGAGAATGAATGGAAGTCAACAACCAGCAAAGAGAAAGATTCTGTCAACAATCTGTGTGAACTTAGAAGTGCATTCTTACTAAGGTCTCTCAATAAGAATCGGGCAGGCTGATATTTCGATTTTGACCACCTAAGAACCAAGAGAGCACAGTTAAGATTTTTGAGAACTATTTAAAAAATGGTGTTTTATGCTGCCAAGTTGGCAGGAACAGAAAGCTACAGTTAACATTGATGTCCAGTTGGACTGTAAAATCAGCTAATGGTGCAAACGCAGGTCATGCAGGTTTGAGTCTCACTATTCCACACCCTCTTCTTGTGGAAGAGGAGGATGCACTCTCCAGGAACTGAGGCAATCAATCATGGATGCTTTCATTATTGGGGTCTTGGGAGATGTTGAGTGTTGCTAGCCTTGCTGGAGAATGTCCTTTCGTGGTTTACCTCATACCAATTAACAGACACGTGTTCCTTAAGGAACAGGAACCCTTACAATTCCCCATTGGCTTTCCCCACCTCTGTATGCCCACTTCTGTTGCCATACTTGGGAGCCACATTCCTTGGAAGACAGAGCAGCTATTGCATACGCACATGTTCGGCCATTCCCTCCTTCCTCCTAACCACTGAGGAAGAAAGATTGAGTAATGCCGTTTGCAGGCAATCCTTTGCTTTATATGTCTTGGCTTCTTCAGGGAGTGGTAAAACTCCACTGTAAGTAGATGTGACTCTTGGTTCCAGGCTGTCTTTGTTTCTGAGTATGATTTGTGCTTAGAATAGTGTAGATATGAAAGTGGGGAAAGGTTCCAATTGCCAAGGAAGGCGCACTTTGGGAGCCAGCGGTACAGTGTAGAGACTGGAGCAACAAGACAGAGCTGACCTCACCCCTCACGTCTTTCCTCCGTCAAGGTCAGAGTAGGTGTGAGATGCTCTACGTCTCAATTGTGTGTCTTTCTGACTCCTCTATCTCTATTGTCTTGCTAGGTCTCTGTTTTTTAGGTTTACTTGGTTAATTGACTATTGCTCACTTCAATTACATAGGAGACAGCCATAGTGTCAATTGTGTGAGTAAAATCACTAGAAACTCAATTTAATTCTTAATTTTTTCCTTATATTTTTGGGTCTTCAAGAACATTTTCCATCTCTTGAGGGAGAATCTACTTCTTTAAAGGATAAGAAAAATCTTTCAATTCTTTAGGCTGCACAGGAAAATCTCATAAAGATGTGACTATTTTCCAAATCATAAGTTACAGAAAAAAAGGAATGTTGATAGTTGGTATATGTTTCACTGTGTAGCTGTGGTACCACGGTTCCAGAACTGTGGGTGCCTTTTTCATTTTCTTATTATAACTTGCTCAATAGTTGGATTTTATTTTATTATTTTTTTCAGTTTGGGCCTTTACCCATGATAAATTTCATAGCCACAAAAGGAGAAAAGAGTGAATGCAACTGAAAATGGTACCCAGTTAACTCTGGGTCAAAGCATCAGGTCCTTCGGCAACCAGACTTACCCTGAAGAGGCCTTAGACTATAGGAATGATCTAGTTTGGGGCCACTAATGGGAGTGATCAGGGAAGCAGTTAGTGGTCTTTTCATCTTTTTGTTTATTATGTATACATTAATTTTTTTAAAGATTTATTTATTTGTGCATACAGAACTGGGGTACAGGCCAGAGGCTCAGGGGCAGTGAGAGGATTCACCAGAGACAGAGTGGGGAGCAGAACAAGCAGATCGTCAAAGTACACTGCTGAGGGGAGCAGCGGGTGGGCCAGGAGAGGTCTGCCTCGCCATGTGGGTAACCTCTGGGGCAGGGATCGAACTCATGCTACCGTGGTTTTAGCTTCTTAGTGCTGTGCTTTAACCTGCTGCGCCACCAAGGAGAGCCCTGCATTAATCTTTTATCTTTTGTTTTATTTTGTTTCTTTGGTTACAGGTAATTAAGTAGAACCAGTGAATGAATAAGGAGAGGCCAATTTAGAAATTATACTTTGTTTTGTAAAGATTGTAAATCTTTACCCAGTTTCCATGCCTTGAGCTGACTTTATGTTCTCTTAATTACAAAGTAGTTTAATAGTCAATGGTTCAGGATTCTTTCCTGAGATCTCAGGGGCTTTTCCTCTGCCCAATCTTAGTGAGCAAATGCAGTGCTACTTTTCTTTATCTACAACAAGTGTTGGGATGTGCCAGTCAAAAACAGGGTCGGGACATGGAGTGTTGCAGCCAGCCAGACCTCTATGGAAATCGACCTGGGGGAAGACTGGTCCTAAGATGGAATCGATGAACACGTGGGATAAAGCAGCAGAAGGCAAGATGCTGACTGTGGATTCTTTTAGACAGTTTTGGCATTTTGTTAGAATTAAAGACATAGTTGATTGTGGGATTTTATAGTCCTCTGAGTTTATCTGAACATCCTCTGATGCAGATTCTGCATGTGTGTATATAAACCAAATGGTTTTTCAACATCTGCCACAAACAAGAGAGCAGATGGTAGTTTGCTTGTTTTTTTTTTTTTAATGAAATATGAGAGCTAATTCTCTTAATTTTTTTAATCCAATGTCCCCATATTTAATATCATTTGGAAATTGCCCTCATGGTTTTCGCCTTCTGGAGGTCACAGCAATCCTCACGCGTCCTTCTCCTTTCTCTATCTACCGTGCATGTTCCCCTGCCAACTTTCTACTTTGAATAGTGTGTGGAGTGTCTCGGCCATGTGTTCCAGGGAGCCCCTGGAGAGCTTGGTGACCCCCAGGCTCTGAGACCTCACTGACCACTTCCACCTCTGTAGGTCTGGGGTTGAGCCTAGCGTTCGCCTTGTTAACCAGCTCCCAGGTGGGCTGGTGCTGCCTTTCTGCATGATACTTCTGCAGTCCTGGAACCTTCTGTACCCTGTGACTAAGGACGGATGATAGGAGGCCTTTGGTCGGTTGAATCTGTAGGGTGAGGAGGGAGAGGTTGGGCGCTAATCTAAATCACTACCTTTGATGAGATTTCTCTGAACAAAACTATCTTTTCCCTTTCACAGAAGCAAATCCGGAGAAATTCAATAGTCGTTTTCGAAATAAAATGTTCTATGCAGGGGTAAGTTTATCTTTGATTTTTAAATTGTCATCTGATAGTTGCTACTAGTTCACTATTTGTAGTAAAGATGCTAAATATTTTAGAAATAACTGCATACACATCACCAGTGTTTACATGTGTGTGAACACACTTGGTTGATATTTACAGTCTTGACTTAAGAATAAAAGGAAGGGGTCATGATTAAGAAGGCAAAAACTGATGTTCCTGTTTGAATTCCTAGAATGATTTTTATTTTATTTTATTTTATTTTATTGAGGTACCGTTGGTTCATATTGTCGCTTCTGTTTTGGAAGTACAAACTCCCCTTCTTCTGGTGCTATTACCACAGCGTTCCCCACCAAAGCACCCATCATCCTCCACCCTAGCCCACTGGCTCCCTCCCACTTTGATTCCTCTGTCCCCCTCTGAAAGCCTCAGTCCTCAAGTCAGCTCTCAAGGGCTAGTTTTTGAGCTTGTCTTTAACTGACTCATTGCCCGGTTTCTTTATAGCCCACAAGTGACACCACCTTGTATTTGCTTTCTCCTTCTGACTCACTCCCCTTGAGAGAATCCCTTTCAGTTCCATCAGCGCTTATGCAAATGGCATGAGTTTATCTCCTTGGATTACTGAGTAATGTCACATTGTACCTGTACACCACATCTTCTGTTCCTCTCCTCTGTTGTTAGGCCTTAGATTGCTTCCAGTGTTACTGTAAATGGTGCTGCAGTGAATGAGGGGGTGCAAGTTTCCCTTCTCATTAGCATACTTGGGTTCTTTGGGTAGATACCTGGGAGTGGAATTGCTGAGTCATATGGTAGATCAACTTTTAATCTTTTGAGAAATCTCCATGTTGCTTTTTATAGGGGCTGGACCGGTCTACATTCCCTCCAACAGTGTGACAGTTTTCCTTTTCCTTTACATCCTCACCACCTCTCAAAGGCAGTTGAGAGAAGGGAATGTTAGGTAGATGGCAAGCTCTGTGGAAAGCCCTGGGGACAGACATAGTTGCCACAGGGACACATTTGCAGGGATGTTTGGGTAAGAAATTGAAAAGAGCAGGGGACGTTTTCACAGAAGTTTATGAGAATAGAGGTCTCCTCCCCCCTCCTTTTTTTTTTTTTTAAAGATTTATTTATTTATGCTTACAGAACTGGGGTACAGGCCAGAGGTGTGGGTGAGATGATTCACCAGAGACAGAGTTGGGAGCAGAACAGTCAGATTGACTGAAATACACTGCTGAGAGGAGCAGCGGGCAGGTCAGGGGAGGTCTGCTGCGTCATGTGGGTCACTCCCTGGCTGGAGATAGCGGCTGCTCTAGCTTCAGAGTGCTGCATTTAACCCATTGTACCACTTTTACTCCTTTCCTTCTTCATGAGCACCTGAGGGGTGAATTAAAATAAACGCAAAAAAAGTCTTCAAAATAATGATTTCAAAATGTGTTTTAATTTATTTATCATGAGAGAGCAAAATAAAAGGAGAGTGAAGCCAGCCATTCTCAATGGCAAGTTAAAGGTTATTTGAGAACCCGTGAACAAGTAGGGAGGACAGGAAAGGCCTTTAAAATAAGTCTTTAAACTGACACTGGAATTACCTACTTTTTCACTCTCCTACTGTTACTTCAATTTTATTATAGTTTTTATTTTGAAAAAGGAGAGAGCTCAACTCAACAGCCATCACTCTGCTTTATTCTGGAGACCCTGCTCGAAAGGTTCACGTAGTTCAGAGTCACAGGGACCTAGAGAATATGAGACATGGGCTGTATAACTTTGTAATCAAGATGTTTGTTTTTATTTCCTTGCGGCATAGGCAGCGTTTTCGGATTTCCTGCAGAGAAGCTCTAGAGATCTATCCAAGCATGTCAAAGTCGTCGTAAGTATTGGAAGTGTCGACATATGGCATTTGAAGAGGGCCACGCTTGCTGCTAAAAAATAAAGCCCTTGGCCCTCCCTGGTGGCGCAGCGGGTTAAAACACAGCACTGAGAATCTAAAGCCGCTTCTGCATGAGTTTGAT